ACGATGTGACATGCGCGACGAATACAAATAACCATGCTTGTTAAGATACTTGAGTATCAATCGCCAAGAGTTCCGAGTCAGTTGGGGACGAATTAACCCGAGAAAACCAGTCCTCAATTGTAACATAGATTTTTCCTAATCGTTGGCGGCTCCTTATCAGCTTGTCAGTGTATCGAATTTCTCGCACTGACCTCAGATTTCACTTCACTCTCCCCACAGTCTCGACCTTTTCGATGACCCAGCTTTCTTCCATCCTATCGCCTTTTCGCAGTTGGTGCAGGGTCTTGCAAAGTTTGCAGCGCAGGCTCTCATTTTCTAGACCAAACGAAGGTGTCAGTTCCAGTGGTCGTAATAAATTCCCGTAAGCTATCAGGTAGGACTGTCTCCTCGTCCCAAACCCAGTTCGCCGAAGGGACGGAGTTTTATCACTGTCGCGATCGTCCTCTACCATTCCGAGGAGGTTTCGTTGATATCCGGGAAATTTCATCCTGGAAACATATCTGGGTAGTAGCGAAAGAGAGAGAAATGAGCACAAATTTTGAGTGCACAGAAGGTATGGCAGTGCTCTTTGTCCAACACAGCATTCCACTAAGAAGGCTCAAAACTGAAACGATTCTGCCAATTCGTGCATGAAGGAGATTCTTATCGTGGAGAAATTCGCTCCCCTCGAAAGTCTCCGAAATCACGGTTGAAGACGACCTGTCCGTGCTCGATGTTTGATCCGGACCGCAGACCAGACCGCGATACGCGTTGGTGGATGGACTGTCAACCTCACATCCGCGCCCTTAGGGAAGTCATGTACTCAGCCGACGCGAACAAAGAAGTGGAGATACTCTTGCACAAGTGTGTCTCTGTACATGGCCACGATCAACTATAATTCGTCGCTTGACAATGAGAAGATTTACATTGCTCTCACAGGTTGAACGAGTCGCCCCGCTCTCATTGCGATCATTTCTCTGTACCCTCTTGTATGCGATATTTGTTCAGAACGTCACGAGTTTGCGTAATTTGTTCAGAACTTCTGAACTTTGCGTAATCTGACCAATCTGATCAACTTCACATCATTTCTCAGGACGTTTCGTCACATGTAAGGAGGCGTCCTTGCTGCAAGGGAGCGAAATAAAAGGGCTCATACTGCACTGCATCTTTCATCGAGCTAGATGGTCAAGGAGCAGGTTGGGCCCTCGAACCGTGCCCGATCATATCACCGCCCACACAGGTGCCACTCCCCCCAGCGGTCCTATACTCCAGTTCCGAGCACTCTCCACAAACGCTATGGCTCATCTGCCCACCCTCCATCCTCACCTCGCCGGCTTCGCTCCTGCTGTCTACAACGTCTCTCGGTCCGGCTATCTTCACCCCAAGCTTGCACAATATGCCACTTACCCTTTTCACACGTACTCACAACCTCAACACCGAAGTACCACTTCATCACACTATCCCAAAACATTTCTCAATGCATCGGGCACATTTCATGTGGAGTCGCTTAATGTGCACATAGATGCGGTGAATGCACTTGCGGTGTACACACAAAATGTCCCTCTCTACAGCGGCTCCGGCGATACCACCATTAAGGTGTTTCAGAAGCAGGAGATGTCGTGTGAAGGGCGTAGTACCTCATGGGGCAGGCACGCAGCTGTGAAGAGCGTGGGTGCTGGCGCTTTCTTCAGCGTACAGGGGCCCAGTGGAAGCTCTGTGGAGGATGGCAAACCAGGAACATATTCTATTGTGCAGGATCATGGATAAAACAGCTTACAGATTCTCACCTGAGGTAATCCCTACCACAAGTGATGGTCTCGAGTAGCTAGATGACGTGCTCAAGAGGTGACTACTCAATCCTGGACGATTTGTTCCATAAAGGAGAGTGCTCAACGACGGCAAATATTCTTATTATCAAGCCTTAAACCGCAAGATGTTTTCCACCCAAGCTGCTGTGCTCATACAGATTCTAGGACTGGAGGACAATGAAAGTAAATTTCACCAGTCATGCAAATTCACAAACGTTTCTGATGAAGCTGATTTTGATCAGCCTATTCCGCATTGATTGATGGTGTTTCCCTCGTTGCTGGACATCTAATTGCTTTAGAAATCTTTGGTTGAACAGAGCCTAATTATGACCTATGCAATCCAATCCTAACAGGTTATACTTTGTGTACCTACATTGCGTTTCGCTCATAAGAACAAAAGACAGATGAACAATAACAGTGTAACTTATGAAAATCATGCAATCTTCCAATCGTCATGAATAGCACATATGACACAATAGATAGACTTTATTTTTACACACTTTCCATTTACAATATGCAAAAAAGATAGAGAAGACGATCAATACCATAAATATCTCTACAGCTTGAGTAAGTGTGTATCCATCTATAGCTTGAGTAAGTGTGCATCCATTGATAGGGTTTTTAGTAGTGTTGCGTGAGATTTTCCACCCAAAAACTCAGCTACTAGATTCAGCCATTTCTTCTTTCATACTACTTTTCAGCAATCAACCAATAAATTAAATTACTATACACTAGAACATCAAAGTACTTTTGGCACATCACTTTTTTGCACTTTGTGCAAGTAGTGGAGCATTGAAATAGGTTTGAGCTCTCATTTAAATTGTTATTGTTCTTTTTCCTCTACAATCATCTTGTCTTATCATTTTTGATTTTCTTCTTTTTGAGTTAAGAGTGTGATTAGTTCATCCTTGTGTTAGGATTAGCCTTGAAATTGATTTATTTTTTGATGAATCTACCTCCATTATAGCTATAAGCACATCTTTGTTGCTTATAAGCATCTGCATATGTGTGAGCACCTTCTTTAGTATATACCTACTCAGTGAAGTATCAAACATCAATTTTGGTATTACACACATTTTCTTCTAATAATCAAACTTGTATAAGGATAATATTTAGCATGTATCAAAGTACCTAATTTACAAATATTAATAAAATGGCATTCAAGTTATTGTTTTGTTTTCTTTAGTGGAGTTATTCAATAATATAAGCATCATCTATGATATCATTGGTCACACTTTCTTTGTCATAGTGCACTATTTTCTTACACTCCTTCTTGCACTATACAATATCCATTGATTTTTCAAGTAGCAACAATGTTGAAAATGACTCATTTCAAGGTTAAAATGAGATTTTGGTCTCATTGTTTAAATATGGTATGATATATTTTTACTAGCTTTGTATTATAATTCTATAATATTTTATCTATTTTATTTTTCCTATCTTCACTAATTTGTAGTAGAAATTTTTGTTATTAGGAATTTGGTTATTTAATTTTATTATTTGATATACTTGCAACTAGTATCCTTAAATACTTGGTGAGTTATTAAATAGCTTTAATAATGATATTTAGAAAGTGGAGGACATTGATGTAGTTGATGATATTAAAGGTTAAAGGTTTTTAATTATTTAATCTTAATTCATTAATTTTAACTAATTGTATTATAAACTTGTCATAGATATAAACATTTATCCCAATGGTTATTTAAATGATTAGGTAGAAGTACATAAATATAGATTAATTTCATAAAATATTCTAGAGAAGCTTTTTAAAAGCTTTATAGATGCGGTTTTGACTTGAGATGTGTTTGTAGGTTTGAAACTTGGCCAACAAGTTAACCACTTGTTGGTAGCTTGTGGAATAAGTTAATTCCATGTTATACCTTGTGAAATAAGCTAAATTTGTGGCACATACATAGATAACTTGCCTTGCAAGTTAAGACATGTGGATAACAAAGTCAACATATGTTGAAGGTCCTATAGAATATTGCTATGTAGCTCTTAGTTAGAGAGTATATATGGAGGTAAGAGTGAAGTATTCTTCACTCTTCTCAATACTTTCTAATGCTTAGCGTTGTTTAAAGACTTTTTAGTCTTTTTTTTGGTAATAGCCATTCTAGTTCAATATCACATCATCTTTGATTGACTTTTTCATTCCTTTTAGTAATACAAGAGAGTATCGAGGATTTTCTTTCTTTGAGAATCATGTTTTTGACAATATCAGTGCAAAAGCCTAGTTCTAAGACTAGTTTAAAATTTTTAATATATTTACTAATTATAAATCCTAGACTATAAATCATCACCTTTAACCAATCTGTATTCTTTAGTTTAAAGCTTTTAAAACTTCTTAAATTATAATCTTTTACTTTTTGCTCATACCTAATTCAAGAGGTATACAAATCAAGTACCAACTTTGTTTAAACAACATAAACCTTCAATGATCTTAATTTAACTTTCCTAAATTGATTCTCTTGCAACTCACTAATAAAAAGAAGATACCTTCAAAAAATGTGATAATTATGGAAATTCTTGAAAAATCAATGGATAGTGTATAGTGCAAGAAGGAGTGTAAGAAAATAGTGCACTATGACAAAGAAAGTGTGACCAATGATATCATAGATGATGCTTATATTATTGAATAACTCCACTAAAGAAAACAAAACAATAACTTGAATGCCATTTTATTAATATTTGTAAATTAGGTACTTTGATACATGCTAAATATTATCCTTATACAAGTTTGATTATTAGAAGAAAATGTGTGTAATACCAAAATTGATGTTTGATACTTCACTGAGTAGGTATATACTAAAGAAGGTGCTCACACATATGCAGATGCTTATAAGCAACAAAGATGTGCTTATAGCTATAATGGAGGTAGATTCATCAAAAAATAAATCAATTTCAAGGCTAATCCTAACACAAGGATGAACTAATCACACTCTTAACTCAAAAAGAAGAAAATCAAAAATGATAAGACAAGATGATTGTAGAGGAAAAAGAACAATAACAATTTAAATGAGAGCTCAAACCTATTTCAATGCTCCACTACTTGCACAAAGTGCAAAAAAGTGATGTGCCAAAAGTACTTTGATGTTCTAGTGTATAGTAATTTAATTTATTGGTTGATTGCTGAAAAGTAGTATGAAAGAAGAAATGGCTGAATCTAGTAGCTGAGTTTTTGGGTGGAAAATCTCACGCAACACTACTAAAAACCCTATCAATGGATGCACACTTACTCAAGCTATAGATGGATACACACTTACTCAAGCTGTAGAGATATTTATGGTATTGATCGTCTTCTCTATCTTTTTTGCATATTGTAAATGGAAAGTGTGTAAAAATAAAGTCTATCTATTGTGTCATATGTGCTATTCATGACGATTGGAAGATTGCATGATTTTCATAAGTTACACTGTTATTGTTCATCTGTCTTTTGTTCTTATGAGCGAAACGCAATGTAGGTACACAAAGTATAACCTGTTAGGATTGGATTGCATAGGTCATAATTAGGCTCTGTTCAACCAAAGATTTCTAAAGCAATTAGATGTCCAGCAACGAGGGAAACACCATCAATCAATGCGGAATAGGCTGATCAAAATCAGCTTCATCAGAAACGTTTGTGAATTTGCATGACTGGTGAAATTTACTTTCATTGTCCTCCAGTCCTAGAATCTGTATGAGCACAGCAGCTTGGGTGGAAAACATCTTGCGGTTTAAGGCTTGATAATAAGAATATTTGCCGTCGTTGAGCACTCTCCTTTATGGAACAAATCGTCCAGGATTGAGTAGTCACCTCTTGAGCACGTCATCTAGCTACTCGAGACCATCACTTGTGGTAGGGATTACCTCAGGTGAGAATCTGTAAGCTGTTTTATCCATGATCCTGCACAATAGAATATGTTCCTGGTTTGCCATCCTCCACAGAGCTTCCACTGGGCCCCTGTACGCTGAAGAAAGCGCCAGCACCCACGCTCTTCACAGCTGCGTGCCTGCCCCATGAGGTACTACGCCCTTCACACGACATCTCCTGCTTCTGAAACACCTTAATGGTGGTATCGCCGGAGCCGCTGTAGAGAGGGACATTTTGTGTGTACACCGCAAGTGCATTCACCGCATCTATGTGCACATTAAGCGACTCCACATGAAATGTGCCCGATGCATTGAGAAATGTTTTGGGATAGTGTGATGAAGTGGTACTTCGGTGTTGAGGTTGTGAGTACGTGTGAAAAGGGTAAGTGGCATATTGTGCAAGCTTGGGGTGAAGATAGCCGGACCGAGAGACGTTGTAGACAGCAGGAGCGAAGCCGGCGAGGTGAGGATGGAGGGTGGGCAGATGAGCCATAGCGTTTGTGGAGAGTGCTCGGAACTGGAGTATAGGACCGCTGGGGGGAGTGGCACCTGTGTGGGCGGTGATATGATCGGGCACGGTTCGAGGGCCCAACCTGCTCCTTGACCATCTAGCTCGATGAAAGATGCAGTGCAGTATGAGCCCTTTTATTTCGCTCCCTTGCAGCAAGGACGCCTCCTTACATGTGACGAAACGTCCTGAGAAATGATGTGAAGTTGATCAGATTGGTCAGATTACGCAAAGTTCAGAAGTTCTGAACAAATTACGCAAACTCGTGACGTTCTGAACAAATATCGCATACAAGAGGGTACAGAGAAATGATCGCAATGAGAGCGGGGCGACTCGTTCAACCTGTGAGAGCAATGTAAATCTTCTCATTGTCAAGCGACGAATTATAGTTGATCGTGGCCATGTACAGAGACACACTTGTGCAAGAGTATCTCCACTTCTTTGTTCGCGTCGGCTGAGTACATGACTTCCCTAAGGGCGCGGATGTGAGGTTGACAGTCCATCCACCAACGCGTATCGCGGTCTGGTCTGCGGTCCGGATCAAACATCGAGCACGGACAGGTCGTCTTCAACCGTGATTTCGGAGACTTTCGAGGGGAGCGAATTTCTCCACGATAAGAATCTCCTTCATGCACGAATTGGCAGAATCGTTTCAGTTTTGAGCCTTCTTAGTGGAATGCTGTGTTGGACAAAGAGCACTGCCATACCTTCTGTGCACTCAAAATTTGTGCTCATTTCTCTCTCTTTCGCTACTACCCAGATATGTTTCCAGGATGAAATTTCCCGGATATCAACGAAACCTCCTCGGAATGGTAGAGGACGATCGCGACAGTGATAAAACTCCGTCCCTTCGGCGAACTGGGTTTGGGACGAGGAGACAGTCCTACCTGATAGCTTACGGGAATTTATTACGACCACTGGAACTGACACCTTCGTTTGGTCTAGAAAATGAGAGCCTGCGCTGCAAACTTTGCAAGACCCTGCACCAACTGCGAAAAGGCGATAGGATGGAAGAAAGCTGGGTCATCGAAAAGGTCGAGACTGTGGGGAGAGTGAAGTGAAATCTGAGGTCAGTGCGAGAAATTCGATACACTGACAAGCTGATAAGGAGCCGCCAACGATTAGGAAAAATCTATGTTACAATTGAGGACTGGTTTTCTCGGGTTAATTCGTCCCCAACTGACTCGGAACTCTTGGCGATTGATACTCAAGTATCTTAACAAGCATGGTTATTTGTATTCGTCGCGCATGTCACATCGTGTAATTTCACAAGATGGTGGAGGTTGGGGGTGGGCAGATGAGCCATAGCGTTTGCGGTGAGTGTTCGGAACTGGATTATAGGGCCGTTGGGGAGCTCAATATCAGTGTGGGCGGTGATATGACCGGGCACGCTCAAAGGCTACAACCTGTTCCTTGATCATCTGCAACAACAGAAGATGAGGTAGTGCCGCATGAGCCCTCCATTTTAGCCCTCCATTTCGCCATTTCTCATGCGTGGATGTGGATGAGATGCGCAACCAAAAAGGGTAACTGAAGCCCATCCGTAGTTGGACGTTGCGACTGCAAGCTGCGACTGCAAGCCAAGCTGGTTCGTGCGCAGCCAGGGAATCGAACCCCGGTCAGTACCGTGGGAGGGTACTATGATACCACTACACCAGCTGCGCCCAAGAAATGAGTCCCGCCAGCGTTCGCCCGACAAGGCTGCATCTCGTCTGTGTTGTCTGTGCCATCACCCACACACGCTCCTTCTATTGTACATGTCGCTGCAAATGTCCACATCTGAAACAATTCAACCGCAGCTTCTCATTCTCGCTCCCCGCGACGGGATCCACTCCACCAAATGCACAACCTCACCAATGTTCTGAGGCTTCGGAAAACGCAACAAAACTGTTTAATTATTGATGAATGAAAAAAAAACAAAAAAAACAAAACACATGAAAAAACCAATCAAACAAATTAATCTACTGCACATTTGTGTAATTTTAAGTTCTTTCTGACATTTTTTTTACTTTTTCTTTTTACTATCCTTTACTTGTAAATTGTAGAAAATATGGTCATCCATGACATATGTATCTAATTGGCTACAAATTACTGGAATTTTTAAGGCCATGAACTAGCAAAACTTCAATTGAGATTCTTACAAAGATTGATCTCCACTTTTTTGAAGCAACTGAAGCAAAAATATTTATAAAATATTTGTGATTCTACCTTGGTACTTGATTTTCAAATATTGGGGCCATAATAACACACACAGCATAGCATCTATTTGTTAATTTTTTAGTGAACATAAAAATATCTCTCCCCTTGAAATAAATGCATAATTATTCCTACTTCACACATTTGCTTTTAAACTTGCCATTTTTTTTATAACATACTGGATTAGATTAAATTTTCATGGACGAAGTTTTTCTGAGACTAAACACATCTTATAATATTTAATTTCACCTTTGGAGGCTGTATGTGTAATAAAAACTATCAATTTTTTTATTTTTTTTTATTTTATAATTAATTCTTTTTAAATAGCATTAAATTTGTACTAATAAATTTTTTTTATTAAAACCACCTAATTGATTGAAATTGAAAATTGAAAGTATTGCTCATAAATTGAATTGACATAAATAATATGTTTTTGATGTGATATTTTATATATATATATATATATATATATATATAGAAAAAGAGAGAAGAGAATGTTAAAGCAATCCAAATTTTTACTAAATCAATCCACCTCTTTAAACCATCATTGCATCTTCATGTCCCATATCCATGTTCTCCTTGTTTCCATACCCTTGTCCCATGTTCCAACCTCTTTAATCACGTTCCTATCTAATCCCTTGTCCTTGTTTCTCAACAGCTCACTTCTTGTTTAGGAGGTAGAAAAATGAGAGGACTTTATTGCAAATTTTATGATGAATTGAGATGGGAATCTAGAGGCTAAGATGTCATTGGATATTTCAACTATTCGGATAGTTGGAAGCTTTGGAAGAATACCAAAATTTGCTTTGTAATACAACCAAATAGAGTGAGTCTATGAGCAATGGTACTGAATACATATAATTACCTATAGGAATAGATAAAAGTATGTAAAAGTAGATAAAAGTAGGTTAATTGTGTAATATCTTCTAGAGTACTGTTGTAACTCATAATTGCTTCAAGTATTCAATCATCCAAGTGTGTTATTATGCACCACAACTTGCTTTGAGTCAAGAACATTTGTACATCCTTGGAGGTCAATGTAAAGAACCATTTTAGGTCAAAGTTGATATATCTAATTTGATGTAAATATTCTTTCTTTTTTTGTATTCTAGGATGACTAAAAATATTGTATAGACAATGACAATAGAGACATTGGTTATACCAATTTATAAAGACTTTTTTCCCTTTAAAGGCATTACAAGAGATGTAGACACCATGGAGAAGTTAGATAGTTTTATTTTTTATTTTTAAAATTTTGTATATGACTTATTTTGAGGATTTGGTAGACAAAAGCTTTGCCTTGCAATAAGAAGCTGTAAATATGTGCAATGGCCTTTTAGCATGTAATTGGCTTCACAAAGTTCATTTTTAGTCCACAATTATAAACAATCATAGCATTTTAAAATATAGAGCTTGATTGTTTTTCTTTTGAAATGTAATGAATCTTAGATTCTCTATTGAAACTAAAAATTATAACCTTGAAATAAAAAGTTTCAATTTTGAATTAGTAAATCAAGGATTATTGAGGTTGAAGTGAGTTAGGGTCTCAGAAAGTAGAGTTTTAGGTCTAGTGAGGGTTTCTTAGATTTCTTACAATCTATCAATTGGATTGGAATAAAAATTAGGTGCATGGATAATAGACATATTTTGATACGTATGTGAGAATTTTGAGAACAATCAAACAATTGGATAAGGAAATATTGATGTTGGAAGTTTAACATTTAGATTGAAGAAGGAAGCCGGCCAATGTCCGAGCAAATATTAGGATTGATCTTCTTTTTGGTGAGTTTGATCTTCTTAAAATAAATATTTGTGCTTATTGTTAACTTAATTTTGAAGAGATATGCAAAATTTGAGTTAAAATCAATGGTTAATTTATTAGTTATTGAGGTTTGTATCTACTATAGGAGTTACTTGAGATTATTTAGAGTTTGGTTAGGGTATGTTTAGGATTGATTAGAATTTGGTCAAGGTTTATTTAGGTTTATTTAGGATTTGGTTAGGATTTGACTAAGATTTGATTAAGGTTTGATTAGTATTTGATTAAGATTTGTTAGGATTTGATTAGGATTTATTTAGTATTTGGTTAGGATTTGATTAGGATTTAATTAAGGTTCTATTTTAATATTTTATTAATATTTCTATTTTAGTATATTTTTGAATTCTATATTATTTCTTTATGTTTTTGTTTAAGATCCTTTAAGAATATTTTATGTTTCTTACATAATTCTTGTGAAATTTTGATTGAATTTGATTGTATGTTTGATTATATTTGATAATCTTTAATTTTAATTTGTTTAAGAATCTATTAGAGTTATTAAGACTTGTTGTTGCAATTTTTCTTTTATCTTCTACAGTGACGTGTCCGGTGCATTCTTAAGCCAAACGCCACATAATATGACATTGTGACATTGGAACCATTATTTTTCTTAGTCCATTTATTGTCGTGCAATTGTAGATGATCAAAGACAAGTGCTAAAGATCTTGACTTCATTGAATGGAGGTGCAATTGATTAATTGTAAGGAATTAGAATCAAAGTAGAATCTAAAAATAAAAAGATGTTGAAGATGATAGTTGGATGGTTTAGGTGCACTCATAGCAAGTTCTTATGTAAGGATATCAAGAAATAAGATGTGCACAAGTTGGAGCAAGAAGAAGACAAGGAACATAAGAGCAAGAAGTTATTGATAAAATGTGAGTTCCTACCAATGATTCTTTCATGCATGGAATCTAACAAAAATGAGTTGCAAATAGATTAAGAAGGGTTGTTTGTAAAGTTCAACAAGAAAGAGCTAGGCCTACTAATATTCTTGAATAAGTAGCTAAAAAAGGAAAAAATAGATGAAAGTCTGAGGCAATAGAAGGTATAGTTGTTGGAGGTGGTGATGTCAGGCTAGAAAAAACTTGCCTTAAGAAAGCATTGGACTTTTGGCTATCACTATTTGCTCAACCAAAACTCAAGATTAAAAAAATACCAAGTTTATATATAAAACGTTTCCTATAGAGGCAATTACATTAATACATAAGCCCTAAGTACCAAAGATCATCCAAAATATAATAAAAATATTATAAAACCTTATATATCCTTAAGGTGGATTTTTTTCAAACTTCAATAGCTCATATTTCAAAATTCGACCATCCAAAAAAACCAAAATTTTACATGAAGTACTAATGTACTTTTTATAACTATTACTACAAATTTCAATTACAAATTTATTACGGAACTTAAGATATCACCAAAAATCTAACAGTAGCTTCAAATCCTTGCTTATATATATATATATATATATATATATATGTAATTTTCTTTATATCTCACAAATTAAGCACTCAAATATCATAAAATTTTGATATATAGCTTTTTAATCTAATAACATATACTTTAAAAAATTTTGAGCTAAAAATTCATTTGGAAACTCAAGATATGGTTCCAACCATTACTATCAATAAAACGACTCACTTATTGCCTTTGAATTACATGTGCTATCTTCAATGTTCTATAACTTCTTTATACAAACTCCAAATGTAATTTTTTTCCATGAAACATGTAGATTTTGAAGTCACCTTTGCGGCTACACCTTCCAATCTCCAAAATTTGTCATAAAACTCCTTGTATTTTCAAAAGAGCAACAATATATCTTAAAAAGACACCTTAATTTCAAATGGCTATAATTTCATAATTCTAACTCTAAATCCTCTAAAATCTATGCACAAATTATAGTCCAAATCCTAAACCTTAAAATCCTTATTTTTTATTCTCAAATGTCCCTTCTAAAGTTGCCAAAATCCTTGTTATGGTGGCAAACAACCTATTGAATGCCTATTGGGCATGGTCT